GTGTGGGGGGGAGGTCTTTGTGGATTTCCTGCCTTGTGCAAGGCGGGTTGGACTAGATGACCCTGGGTGACCCCTTCCAACTCTGGGACCCCACGGTGGTGCCACTGCAGGGTTGTGGGGGGGGGAGGGCTTTGTGGATTTCCTGCCTTGTACAAGGGGGGTTGGACTAGATGACCCTGGGGGACCCCTTCCAACTCTGGGACCCCACGGTTCCATGGTTGGCTCTCTTTCTCTCCCCCCCCTTCCCCTTTAGGCCTGGGCCATCCACAAGGGCAAGTTCCACGAAGGGCTGGACAAGGCGGACCCGTCGGTCTGGAAGACCCGCCTGCGCTGCGCCCTCAACAAGAGCACCGACTTCCAAGAGGTCCCCGAGCGGAGCCACCTCGACATCTCCGAGCCCTACAAGGTCTACCGCGTCGTCTCCCTGCCGGAATCCCACGACGCCGGTACCGTGGGGGGGGGGGGGACGGTGGAGTGCGCGGCGGCCGGGCGCCCCCTCGCAAGCGCGGCCGCGCACACTGCGCTTGCCTTGCAAGTTCTGCGGAGGATGGGCGCAGGCGCGAGGGGTGGGGGGAACCGGGGCTCTTGCAGCGGCGACGTTAGAGCCCAGGAGTTTGGAGCCGGCATGCCAGCCTCGTCTTCCTTAGCTCATGGACAGGTGAAGCTGCCCTATACTGAATCCGACCACTGGATCAAAGTCGGCATTGCCTGCTCGGACTGGCAGCTGTTCTCCAGGATCTCAGTTAGCGGTCTTGGGTTGAGAAATACCTGGACGTGTGGGGTAGAGCCAGCAAAGTCGGTATTGCCTGCTCGGACCGGCAGCTGTTCTCCAGGATCTCAGTTAGCGGTCTTGGGTTGAGAAATACCTAGACGTGTGGGGTGGAGCCAGCAAAGTCGGTATTGCCTGCTCAGACCAGCAGCTGCTCTCCAGGGTCTCCGGTGGAGGCTTTGGGTCAAATAGCTGGACGTGTCTGGGGTGGAACCTGGGGAAAGCAGGGTTTGGGGAGAGGGGGAGACCTGGCTGGGCACCATGCCACAGAGTCTGATCCCCGAAGGAGTCATTTCCTCCAGGGAAACTGATCTCTGTAGTCTGGAAAGCAGTTATAATTCTCGGAGATCTCCAGGCCCCACCTGGAGGATGGCTGACCTGTGTTCAAATCACCTCCCTTCTGGTCTTCGTAACTGGGAACGCTGGGGATGGAACCTGGGTCTCTCTGCTTGCCCAGTAGGAGGGGGGACCCTGGGGACTCTCTGCTCAGGCTTCCTCAAAACCTGGAACAGGTCCTGCTAACCCACATCTTGCCTGGCTCCTTGGAGGCCCAGGGCCTCTCTCGGATGTTGTCCCTCCGGCTAGCTGATACCTCCAGGGGACTGCCACCTGTCATCCCCGCAGGGCCCAGGAGCCAGTGCTGCTGACCAATGTTCCCTCTAATCTGTGTCATCTCATGAGCAAAAATTCTACTTTGTGAACTACTGGCCTTAATGTTTTGAGTGAGCGATTTGGCTGCTGCATAAATCTGTTTGCTCTGGAGCTCTCCTTCCTGAGCTAAGGCAAAAATGTGGGAGCTGGAGGCTAAAAAACTGTGAGCTAGCTCACACTCACTCAGCTTAGAGGGAACACTGCTGCTTTTCGCCGCATTCCCCAGCTGCCTTTCCTCCAAGCTCTGCCCGCCCAGAAAGACCTCCCCAGCTCTTGTTTGGTGTCGTGGTTAAGTGCGGGGACTCTAATTTGGGAGAACCGGGTTTGATCCCCCACTCCTCCACTAGCAGCTGCTGGATGACCTTGGGTCAGTCATAAGTTCTCTCAGAGCTGTTCTCTCGAGGGCAGTCCTCAAAAGAGCGCTCTTAGCCTTGCCTACCTCACAGGGTGTCTGTTGTGGGAAGGGGAAGGAGATTTGTGAGCTGCTCTGACACTCCGAGTGAAGGGCGGGGTATAAATCCAATCTCCTCCTCCTCCTCCTCCTCTTCTTTGTGCCAAGGGTGTTCAGAAGCTTATATTGCTCCTGGCCCATCAGCAACATGGGAAAGGACTAGCCAGTGTCACCGCATACCCAGGTGGGGATGGAACAAAAGGCCGGGCATCGGCCTTGTTCTGTAGCCTCGCCTGAATGAATCTTATGTGCTGCTTGGCTTGACCTTCCCTGATCACACTAACCTCCAGGTCTGGGGGAGCTCTTGGCCTGGCCTGGCCTGGCCAATAGAAGCCCTCCAGACAGGCACAGTGTCGTTGGTTCCATGCTCTGTACGGTGCCCGTTAGTAAGGAGTGTTTTGCTCTCTCCCTCTTCAGACAAGGAAACCGTCAAGGAGGCTGTCCTGGATCCGGCCCAGCCCTCGACCTCTGGGCACCAAGAGAGCAGAGTGGAGTGTCAGCCAAGCAAGGTGAAAGCATTGTTTAAAAAATCGATCGATTTATAGCCCACCGTTCTCACTGAGAACCAATGAGGATTGCAGAACATAGAGAACCGTTCCGTGAGACCGTGCAACTGGATGGATTACGGAATGAGAAAACGCAACCAGAAGACCGTTTCAAGAGGACAGCCGCTGTGTTGGTCTGTAGCAGTAGAACAAAGAAGGAGAGATTGGATTTATACCCCGCCCTTCACTCGGAGTCTCAGAGCGGTTTACAAACTCCTTCCCCTTCCCCCAACAGATACCCTGTGAGGTCGGTGGGGCTGAGAGAGCTCTGAGAGAACTGCTCTTTCAAGGACAGCTCTTGTCAGAACTACGGCTTGCCCAAGGTCATCCAGCAGCTGCAAGTGGAGGAGTGGGGAATCAAACCCGGCTCTCCCAGATTAGAGTCCACACCCTTAACCACTGGAGCTGCGGTGGCTCAAGTGGTTAAGACGCTGAACTGCAGGCTGAGGAAGGTCAGTAGTTCAGCAGTTCGAGACCCGAGTTGCTGCATGACGGAGCGAGCTCCCGGCTCTACTTCCAGCTCCTGCCAACCTAGCAGTTCGAAAGCAAGAAATTGCAAGTAGATAAATAGGTACCACTTCGGTGGGAAGGTAACAGCATTCCATGCGCCTTGGTGTTTAGTCATGCCGGCCACATGGCCATGGAAACGTCTTCGGACAGCGCTGGCTCTTCGGCTTTAAAACGGAGATGAGCACCGCAACCCTAGAGTCGGATTTGACTGGCTTTCGAGCAAGGGAACCTTTACCTTTACTTAACCACTACACTACACCAAACCACTACACCAAATTCAAGCCCACCAGCACCTAAGTATTTCAGGACCCTGAAACATTTTGTTGGCCCATAAGATGGGACCGGACTCAAATTTTGTAATGCAAACAGAAACCCATCTAAAGCGTGACGTAAGTAATACTCTGTTACAAACGTACAAGAGGGTACAGTTGAAACAAGGTGTTACATATAGAGAATATTGCAATAAGAGTTTTCAGCTAAACATTGTGACGAACTTCCTGACAGGTAGAGCGGTTTGATCGCCACTTTGGAGTCAGGAAGCAATTTTCCTCCAGGCCAGTTTGCCCGGGGATTCTGGAGGTTTTTTGTCATCTTCTGGGCGTGGAGCAGGGGTCCCTGGGGGTGTGTGGGGGGGGGGAGGTCTTTGTGAATTTCCTGCATTGTGCATGGGGTTGGACTAGATGACCCTGGAGGTCCCTTCCCACTCTATGAGTCTGTGATTCTAAATCTGGGAGAACCGGGTTTGATTCCCCACTCCTCCACTTGCACCTGGCTGGATGACCTTGGGCAAGCCGTAGTTCTGATAAGAGCTGTTCTCTCAAGGGCAGTTTCTGGAAAGAGCTCTCTCAGCCCCACCTACCTTACAGGCAATGCTCCCTCTAAGCTGTGGAGTCTTGTGAGAAAAAGTTCTATGTTGTGAGCGACTGGCATTAAAGTTGTGAGCGAGCGATTTGGCTGCTGCATCAATTGGCTTGCTCCGAAGCCATCCTTCTTGAGCGAAGACAGAAATGCGTGAGCCGGAGGCTAAAAAACTGTGAGCTAACTCACACTCACTCAGTTTAGGGGGAACACTGCTCGCAGGGTGTCTGTTGTGGGGAGGGGAAGGGAAAGGCGATTGTAAACTGCTGTGAGACTGAGTGAAGGCCGGGGTATAGATCCAATCTCCTCTTCCGTCTCCTCCTCTCTTCAGTTCGTGGGGCAAAGGGCTTTGCATGTGGGGACCATTAAGGACTTTTCAGGACCCTGAACTGAACAGGGTGACATTCGCAGGAGAGATTCCGGTCATCTCCACAGGAGAGATCATAAGATCCACCTCACTCAGGGCGGCTCCTGTGTCACAGCGCGGATCCAGAGGCGCAACTGCGCCCATGTCAGTCGCTTCTGCTTCTCCCTCCGGTCCTGTCGCTGGATTGAGGAACCTGGGCTGGCGACAAAGCGAATGGGTGCCATGTGGAGTGCCCTATCATGTTTATTCCTTTTATAGCTGGGGGGGGGGGAGGTTGTTGCTTGCAGAAATTTGTTTCGCTGTAGCTGAGCAAACAAAGTGCAGCGAACAGAAAGTGCACGCCCCGAGGAATTACGTTAAGGCCTGGCGCATAGAAGTTATTTCTCAATCTCACCCAATCTCTGCCCCCTTTCCTGCAGGCGGCACCGTCCTCAGAGTCAGGCCAAGAGAGCGCGGACGGCCCAGCAGGGACCTGTCAGGTCTCCTCAGCGCCACAGAACTTGCAGACGCCAAACCGGGATGAGCAGCAGGGTAAGGAAAAAGCGTCTAGACTGTGAAAGGTTTCTGCAGCCCCCGGGCATCCCTGGGGGGTTAACTTGCCCTTCCTCAGGAATTCATTGCCAGCGGATACCCTATGCTCTGTCTCCTTAGCATAGAAATCGGGCTTGAGATATATTTGAGAGGGTTGGGTGAAAAGTGAATTTTTCAAAGGGACAGTGTGGGGTAGCAGTTAGAGACACGGCTCTCAAATTCTTCGAAGGGGAGGGACCCCTGTAGAAGAGATTGAATTTATACCCCACCCTTCACTACCCAAAGGGACTCTCAAAGCGGTTTACAAACTCCTTTCCCTTCCCCTCCCCACAACAGACACCCTGTGAGGTAGGCCGGGCTGAGAGAACTCTGACAGAAACAGCTCTTTTCCAAGAACAGCTTTGACAGAACTATGGCTTGCCCAAGGTCATACAGCCAGGTGCAAGTGGAGGGGTGGGGAATCAAACCTGGTTCTCCCAGATTGGAGTCCACGCACTTAACCACTACACCAAACTGGCTTCTCAATTGCTTCCTGCCCACTTGGTTTGGCCAAGTGGCAGTTTAGCTCACGGTGTCTGTGAGGTAAACCTTTCAGGTCCTGCCAAATGATGGAGGGATTCCAGTGTTCGGTTGTTCCCGCTTTGGAATTCACGGGGGAATTCACGGGGGACGCTTGAGTACTGTTGTCAGTGTGTTATCTTGCTGGCCCACAGTCTAGTTAAGGAGTAGAGAATCACGGAAATAAGCTATCAAAAATATTATGTCGTGAAAACTTACTAATTTTGAACTCCTATCTTATTGTAATTGATAAATGCAAATTATACCACAATTTTTGTGTGTGTTGATTATTAATACTTACACAATAATACTTACGCAATAATACTTATGGCTACAAGCATGGACGGCTTCAAAAGGGAATTAGATAAGCATATGGAGCAGAGGTCCATCAGTGGCTATGAGCCACAAGGTATAGATAGGGGCTCTGGGGCAAGTGATGCTCGGTATTCTTGGTGCTTGGGGGGGGGGGGAAACGGAGGGGGGGCTTCTAATGTCCT